GATTGGTCGCTGTACCGGAGCCAGAAATAATGTGGTACTATAAAGATGCCCAGGTGGTTAGTCAGCAAAACATCGTGGTCGCAACTGAAAGCGATATGCACATGTACTGCAGTATCGTAAAAATTACCAAAATTCAAAAGAGGCAAGAAGGAAGATATAAGATTGTCGCTAAGAATAGAGAAGGCGAAGCCACTATCGATATTCCCATAAAAGTTGGTTGACAATATACAAAGCTATATTTATAAATATTGTTTCTATATATATTACATGTAATATAATTAACGTATTTTCTTGCAAAACAGGTAAAAACTGGAAAGAGCGAGCCGCCCGAAATTTTGGAGCCGTTGCAATCCCACGTTGTCAAAGAAGGCGAGACTGTTATTTTATCAACTCAAATAGTCGGTAATCCAACACCAAAAATAACGTGGTATAAAGATGGAAAACCGATAAAGGACATGCAACCAAAACAGGATGGACACGTCAATACGTTGAATTTGATTCAGCCTCAAATAGTAGATAGTGGAGAATATTCGGTTATAGCTATCAATGATGTGGGCAAAGCCGAGACTCGAGCTGTATTGACTGTTGAGAGTAAGATCAACAACACTAAATATCTCTTTAATTGCATTTAATATAATTGCTTTTTCTTAATTTGTCTTAATTTGTTTTCTTGTAATTATTGATAACTAATATCTTTTCCGTCATATTAGCTAATCGAATAATATACAAATTAAAAAAAAAGTCTCACGCGCATTACTTTAATGCTTTTTCAATTAATAAAACATGCCAGATTGTCATATATAATATTACAAAATGCTTTTTTACTAATGTGCTTTCAGTTAACTCCAAGTCACAAGTCACTATTAGCTTTCAGCAATGTACGAACGATAAACACGTTTTGTTTGTTAATGGTATATATATATATATATATATATAGTTTGGTGTTGCTATGATATCAACTATCCAATACACTCTTACATCTATTCACATAATATATTCTATATCACAATAATGCTATTATATTTTTTTACAAAATATAGAAGTACCGAGTGGCGCACCAGAACCTCCCTTGTTCACTGAACGTTTCCAAGAGGTACTTGTTCCCGAAAAAGGTACCTTTAAGTTAACCGCCAAAGTAACTGGAAATCCTGTCCCGGAAGTTATTTGGCTGAAAAATAACAAACCGCTTGACAAATCGCCCAATATCATAGAAAGTTACGACGGTGAAAACATCTTACTCGAAATTAGAAATGCGGATTCAGAAATTGATACTGGAGATTATAAATGTGTCGCCAGTAATCCGGTCGGAAAAGCTTCACATGGTGCAAAAGTAACGGTAGACGTTGCTAAAGTCTCTTTCACAAGAAAATTGCAAAACGAAATCACAATCGACGAATACAAAACTCTGGAATTGAGTTGCGAGACATCGCACACCGTTTCCACGGTGTGGTGGCATAATGATAAAGAGATCAGCGGAATGGATCATCGCGAGGTGATTCAAGAAGGACGCGTACATAGATTACTTATTAAAAAGAGTGGTCTTTCCGACGCAGGCACGTACAAATGTACCGTCAAAAATCAGGTGACGTCCAGCAACGTTATCGTTCGAGCCACCAAACCGGAATTCGTTAAGAAGCTGCAGGACTTCGAAGTAAAAGAACGCGATGTGGCGATTTTGGAAGTCGAGATCACGTCTCAAATGGCCGATGTTACATGGCGAAAAGACGGCGAATTGTTAACACCGAGCAAGGGAAAATTAGAATTCGTGAAAGACGGTACCGTGAGAAAGCTTCTCATCAGGAGCACATCGGTTCATGACGAAGGGGAATACACGTGCGCTCTTC